AATTGCCAAAAGAAAAAACTCATTCTCTTGGGGGCGTTAAATGGCTTTTTAAATAGTGACTATCGACAGCTGTATTTGCCCTTTTGGAAATGGTACGGGCAGTGTGACATCAGAGATCTCCAGTTTCCATGGTGATTATTAGTGATGGCATTTCAAATGTTGTGGCTAGCTTCTCCAGTATCATTTCTGCACTTTATACCATAAGAGAGGGAAGAGAAAAACTGCTTCATTTCAACATTTTTAAAGGAAAGAATGCTGATCATTCAAGTAGATAAAAATCATGGTTTTTAAGTAAATAACAATTTGTTAACTTTAAACAGACGTGTGTTGATAGAAGAATTATGGGTAAGCTGGTGAAAGATACTAAAGCACTTAGATTTAATAGGGACTAATTAAATGCTTAGATATTTAGCAGCAATGAGCTATTATTTCTTGCCTCCACATTATTTCACAAACTGGCTGACCTCATAACACTGATTCACTGATTTTATAAGTAATAAAAGATTATTTTCTTACTCTGAAGCAATTACTCTGAGCTGAGAAATAATCTGGAGTCTAGGTAGGGCGAAAAACCTACCTTCCTCTGCAGTTAAGGACATCAAGGAGGTAAAGACTGAGTTAGTTGCCAGCCCAACGGAACATTCCTGGAGAGCAGGGCAACACCTCACATTTCTTTTGCTTTCTTAGCACACAGTGATTTTGATGCTGATGAAGCTCAATGCTTTATTTTTGCTTTAATTTTTCACACTTAGAATTCATGGTTAAGTTTAAATTACAGTTTACTGTATTACATGCACTTTGAAAACTCTATGTAAAACAAATAGAATGAATAAACTTAGAAGCCTCTCTTTCTAAGAAAGTGCTTCATTTGAGTTTGATAAACAAGAAAGTTTTCAATTTTCTCAAGTAGCTCTAAAGGTAGTCGTAATCTTTTTAAAAAGATAGTCACCTATAAAATATTGAGGTAATATGGATACAAAAACAATTTGTTTTTTAAGAGGGGAAAAAAGAATACCCAGAGTGTTTCTGATAGCAATTCAAATCAGATCTACTGTGTAGTTAATCATATTGTCTAGAGGCAGAATAAAAGATTATAAATCCAAGTCACACAGAAAATCTGCTGGCAAGATGAAGGAATGTCATAATGAATTAGAATGCAATTTTTAAAAATTCCACACAGATGCATTCCTCTTACAGTAAGAGTAACCAAAATGATAAATGATTCTGTCTCTCCCTTGCTCAAGCTACTAGCTATGCCAGGACAGAATATCTAGGCCATCACTGTGTATGACTTACACAAAAGCCTACAGACCTAGAACAAGGATGGAGTTGCAAACTGAAGATAGAAAAAAAAAAAATACAGGACACTCAGGTCACAAAGTATCACCAGTTGTGACTGACGTCAGTATACATTCATAAGTCATGGAAAGGATTTATTACCTATGGGATACGTAATAATTTTCATCATCAAACACCCAACCTACAATGAGACTGAGATCAATGATTAATAAAATTAAAGGGTCTCCTAATGTGGTGTCAGAAAAGGATCTACCTAAAATTTAATCAATAAAATGTAATTGGTCACATTAAGAACTAAAGAAGCTAAGATACTAAGGGGCAGAATTGTAGACAGTTAAAACTGTAAAAGATAACCTAACCCACTTACATTTAATGAGGAAAAGAGGCTCATGGAAATCGAGTGAAATTATTATAGATCACAAGGAGAGCTACTGGCAAAGTAGGAAAGCAATCCTGTCCAACTGCCCATTCCTACCAGTATGTCTTCCTAGCTCATCTAAAAAAGTATTAATAAAATGCAGCCCACAAACACTAGAAGTATCTATCATAAAGAGGTTTTCATTCTAAGGCCCAAATTATGGAGAAGAACTGTTTGACATCTGACAAAAAACCCAATTAAAACACATGCTCATGTGTCTAAAGACAGTGTTTTCTCATACTAATCATATTTGCTGAGTTATCTGTCAAAGCAAGGATGTGGACAGGACATTTTTTATTTCTTCAGGTATATAGTGAATGATGGAAGTGTCTGACTGGAACATGACTGCAGAGGCTACCATGTGGATAGCGGAGGCAAAGCAAGGTCAATCTTTTCTGTTATTTTTTATGGTCTCAAATTGTTCACATATATAGGGAAATGGTTTATTGAAGAGTCTAACTAAATGATGGCAAAATTGTGAAAAAATATGTATATATCATTGTTCTCAAATCAGAAAAAATGAAAGTAATAATGAACAAACATGGTAGAAAAAGCTAACATTAAAAAACATATAATAATAATAAAACACTTTACATCTGTCCTCCTTGAAGTTCTGAATAATGGACTTCCCAGGAGTCTGATTCAGAAACTTAAACAGAAGAGTAATATATTACTAAATTGGAGAAATAAGATGCGTCATCCACAGAGCAAATGCCCTTGGTTTTTTCATTTGAAAGGTGACCAGAGCTTGAGTCAAAGTCAAGGCCCATGTGGTTATCCCTATAGAGAGTAATGGTGAAGCTTTAGGACAGAGTGACAAGATGCAATGCTTACTGCATCCTTCCTCCAGAAGAACTCACTTTAATTCCAAGAAGACCTTCCAGGGTTGTTCCCACAGAAATCCACTGGCCAAAAGAAACCCCCTATCTAGAACTGTGGTAGTCTCTTCCTGTTATTTTAGAAATTCTACATGCAGATGATCTGAAATGGAGCTATAATTTAAATTATGACAAAATGCTAGATAGAAAGAGGCCAGATGCTGATTTCTACTCACAAGGACATTATGCTCATAAAAAGCAGAAACCGAGGCCCTTATGAGCAATTGGGTATGAGCTTAGCAAGTCAGGGCCCTGTCTGCATGCAACATTTCTAACAAGAGATAGATATCATGAAGGCAAATGGAATAATGTAGAGCAGTGACAGAATGTGGATGCTGATCAGTTTTACAATTGATTAGGTTCCCACAGACACCGGAAAATCAAGTAGCTGTAGATCAGACTTCAGGAGTGTAGCACTGCCATGATCAGACAGTTGGGTTATTATCTTAATGATTGGGAAGATAATATGACATTTGGAAGAGAACAGAACACCTTGCCACCCAAAGTGTAGTCTGAAGACAATCAGCATACACTGGTAACTGGCTAGAAATGGAGGCTCTTAGGCACCCCCAAACCTACTGAGACAGAATTTGCATGTTAGCAAGATCTCCAGGTGATCTGTAAGCACATTAAAGTTTCAGAAGCACTTTACTGAAAATACTGACAGTGCTCTGGCGATGGAAATTTCAGATGTTATCAATCTACACAATGCATGTACAGAGTGGGTACTAAGTCGGTCTGGACCCTTCTAAGTACTTCTGGTCAACCACAGGTTAAAAATGTGAGAGGTAAACATATTTTATTACAGATATCAGTATATATCAGATGAGCCTCACTTAAGTTACCTCTTCTTTGTGGAATTAAAGATAATAGAGAAAACAATATACAGTTAGACAACCTAAAAAAAAAAAGGCTTTATTAATCTGTCTGGATAACTGCCAAAGACCTCAACTGGACTAAATGATTAAGTGAGCCTGAGTCATTACATTTCATAATTATAATATTAAAACCTGAGCATGGGTATTGATTTGTGGATCAGCAACAACTTATTGATTATTTTTCTAAACCTCTCTTCAACTTCCATTTTTAGAAAACATTATTTTCTCAGAAGGTGTATTTTAGCTTTGGGAATTTAGAAGTCAACCGGAAAACAAACAAATGCTGGAGGAAAAATAACCTAAATTTTAATCATAGCTTTCACCTTGTTAGTTTCCTACTGGGAAGATAATTTTTACAAGGATCCACTGCTGAAGAGTAGAAGAAAAAGGGAGAAAGTAGAAGTGAAAGGGTGTATCCGTTATTTCCTGCTCCACCCACACACATTGTACCAGAATTTCCTTTCATGCCCACTTTCCCAATTATCTGATACCCTAGAAAAGGGGAATCTCCTGATGGGATTCACAACACACTACCCTAAAATGTGGTGCCTGGGCAAATAACATTTTAAGGTGAAGGTATCTAAGAAAACGGCAAGTGCGGGAAGGACCTTCTGACCCTCCTCGTCCTTCTCCCTGAAGCAGATCATGAGGCCTTCATGTGGGAGGTCATCTCCCAATACCAGAAGGAAGTAACACCCTTTTATCTGAAGATGGAGGGGTGCCGAGAGGAATCTGAATGAACAGGCCTAGCTCAGTTTTCCCTAGTTTATTATCCTTAGCTCATATACGTTTGTCCTATCACATTTTCTCATGATTTTGCAATATTCATTAAACCCAGTATAAAAACACTCAGGTCTGTTTCTTCAGGTCTTCAATTTCTTATAAAGGCTCCCTTGTTCTGCAAATAATTTATATAAAATAAGCGTGTATGCTTTTCCCATGTTAATCTGTCTTTGTCAGTTTAATTTTCAGATGCAGTCAGGGACCCTAAGACGGCTGGAGAAAATGTCTCCCTCTGCTACATTCCCAAACAGGGGAATACAGTTCCCCAGGGACAAAGTCATTGAGAACAACATTTAAAGAGCAAGAACTCTGCTTTAAACATCTTGTATTGGCAACTGAGGCTCTATTTTAATGTTCTGAACAACGATGGCAATAATCTCCACATTGGTTTACACTTTTCTTGGATCTGTACCACCGAATTCCATTTTTCCAGGCAGAGTCACTGAGCACAAAACACAAGAGATGACTTGACCATGCTGACTAGTGTGAAGACAATAAAGAAAAGAGGAAGTGGATCCTTGGTCCCGACTCCCTCGGAGATGGAGTGCTCAGAAGTTCTATTCCACCAAACTGCTTTCGTGAATTTTCTATGTGTTTGAGTTCATTTTTTTTACAAGTCAGCTTGGCCCAATTTTGAACATAATAATCATATCTAGGAGCAAGAGAGTACCAAGACGGTTTTTGTTCTGGTACCAAGTTCGAGATGGGAATGGATCATGAACTTCCTCTTGCCCCATTCATTACCTGATATAACAGCTATTTTCCCAGATCCATGTTCTTCTCTAGCGATTCTTTCTGCTTCCTCCATCAGCAGCATGCCAAATCCCTGTAAGGAGCAACAAAAGGGTTCGGGGAATTAGGAAGGAAAGGAAGTCCAGTAAGAAGGGTCTATAAAACTAGAAGGCTATAATTGAGTAGCTGCTAAAATCTGTTAAAATAAGAGTGACAAAAGCCCATTAATGGGAATAAGGAAAAAGAAACCATTCAATTACGCCAAAAAGTACACTGTAGCAGACAATTAAAAACGGTAAAACTTCCAACAAGAGTCACCACAAGGTATTTTGTGGACGATGTCATCTAGTCACAGCAAGGGAACAATTCTCTCTCAAATGTTACCACCTTTCAGATACAGTTGAGGCAATCTCCAAGTGATGAAGTCTGGGACAATAAGTCTTTTACTTATTAGTCATCTCTTCACTTTCTAAAGGCTTTAGACAGCAGACACGATTCTTAAATCATCAATTTTAGGGCTTACACTATACCTACAATCAGTGGTTTTAACATTTTCCTGACATTATAAAAAGTGAGTTATTAATTTAGGTTATTTGGGGGTTAGAACAGGGTTCCACTACATAATATAGTTTCCATTTATGAAGTGTTTTAATATTTCCCAAGTGCTTTTACATCATCGGACTCCATAATAACTTAACCCATATTAAATTGCCAGTATTAAATGATTTTTGACTTTCAAAAAATAGCAACTTCACATGATTCAATCTGAAACATTCCAGCTGACTGAATCTTAGCTTGTCCATCCCACCTTCTGCCTCATACCAAAAGGGTACAATCTGGAGAGAACGTCTCTGAATAGCTAACACATTGGCTCTTCTGTTTCTGTGCTTTTTTCCTCCTTCCCCATCTCTTCCTCCCCGCCTCACCCATTCCTTTTCCCTTTTTTCTACTAGGGCAATTTCTTAGTCACAAACCAAACAGGAATGGAAGATATGATACCTGATGTTGAAACTTAGTAGGATCCCGACTGCTCACAGGGACTACACTTCCATATACATGCAGCTCTCGGACTATGGAGACACCTCCGCCCAGTTCAAAACGGAAGGTTTCCTCTGAACACTTTCGTAATCGTAGGAGGCCAATCAAGATGTCTTGATCTGGGTCTTCATATGACAAGAATGTTTCCCAGCCACCATTTGCAACATAATCTCTCCTTACCAATTCAATCTGTTTAATAAAAAGCCACAAACAAGCATTTTTTTTCAAATTAAAGAACCAAGTTCATTTTGGTAGCTGTATTTAGGCTAATATCCACACTAAGGAATAAAGAATGACTAATCACTAATTATGCTTCTTTTTACTTGCCTACTCTCAAATAGCACCAAGATTAAAAAAAGTTCATGCCTTGTTCACGGACAATTATAAAAGGAAAATAACTGTATAATTCCACAAATATTTGAACTTCATTAACCTTGAGATTCTTACAGAGATGCAGCTCCACATATTTAAATCTTTAACTCTCTATAAAGAGTCACTAATGGAAAATTACAAATTATGTCACTGGTAGCTCTTCGGAGCATCCCTTTGCCTCAACACTGTCAGGTACTTAATGGTTTCATTTGCTGGTCCTTATTACCTCCACTGAAATCTGCCTTTGAGGGAAAAATGTGATATTGGTCACTTGTTCCTTGATGGAATTTTAAGGAAGTATGGCATCTCACAGGGTACTTAAAATATAATGCATAATTATGGGATGAAAATGTAAGAGACAATTCAATCACTGGAGAGTAGCTAAATATGACCCTTGTACTTTGCAGAAACAGAAACCATATGTAACAACATGCATACACAAAGGAACATGCATATACATGCATACACACGGGGACATGGTCACACACAGACACATTCTATAAATAGGCAGATCGTACCTAGAACAAGGTGAACAATTCAGACAGATAGACATATTCCTTCTCAACCTAATGCTTACTAGATAACTGGACTGCACAAGAATACAGCAAAATGTGTTGGGTCTACCCTTTCTCTCAAGAGGTCCTAAATGTGAAAAATGTCACTTAAACAACAATTCATGCTGAGAACAGAAACATCAACGCAGATATCATATAGTCTAGCCTTTCTCAAATGGGGTTCTGTAAGAGTCAAACTGCAGAGAAAATCTGGCACGTAGATAGACATCATACATGTATAAGAGAGATGTTAATTCATTACACACAATAAATGCCTTAAGGCACTACACTTAGCTTTTGTGAAACCCCTGTTGATAAGAGCGATATATTCAATTGATTATCACCAATGGGCAATAGTTTAACAGTTACACACAAAGAGATAAGCAAATCATACCATGTTCTATCTGAAGGTAGCCAGTAGTCACAGGTGACTATTTACATGTGAATTAATTACAATTAAATAAAATAAAAAATTCAGTTCCTCATTTGTACTAGCTACATTTTAAGTGCTCAATAGTTACATGTGACTAGTGGCTACCACATTGGATGGCTCAGATCATAGAACACTCCAAAGAAAATTCCATTGGATAGTGCTGAATCTAGAATGAAGTTCAGACTTGGTTTTCCTAATTTAGCTCTTAAGAATTCAACTACCGGCCAGGCTCAGCGGCTCAGCCTGTAATCCCAGCACTTTGGGAGGTCGAGGCGAGTCAATTGCCTCAGCCCACGAGTTTGTGACCGGCTTGGTGAGATCTCATCTCTACAATACATCAAAAAAATTTAGCTGGGCGTGGTAGTGCACGCCTGTAGTTCTGGCTACTTGGAAGGCTGAGACGAAAGGATCACTAGAGCCCAGCAGGTTGATGCTAGGGTGGTGCTGAGTGTGCCACTGCACTCCAGCCTGGGCGATGGAGTGAGACTAATTTAAAAAAAAAAAACAAAAAGAATTCAGCCCCCTTCATATTTGGCTTTCCTGGTTTGACATCTTTATCCAATCCTGCTTTTATTCACTTCGAGGGCTCAGTCCTATCCGTAAGATGGCGTGGGTACAGGTTTGGCAAAGATTTAGAGCAGAACCCAACCATTCTACAAGATAAAGAAACTAACCTGGTATGGCCGTACTTTGTGATGAATTTCTTGGATTCCGACCTCTCTGGTTCTCACATCACGACACTGCCAAAAAGAAGGTGAGGGGGGATCAAATATAAAACTGGCAATGAATCTCATTTTTATTTAACTCTCTACCAAACCCCGGGCTTGACATTTAGTTTGGATATAACTTACATTGAGATAAAAGAGCTGAATTTAAAAGTAAAACTATCTTTAATCAATATGAAAATGGGGGAGACCAGAATGGAAATGTATGAAGTAGTATAGTATTGCTTTTAAAATAAATTTAGAATTCAAAAGAGACCAGTATAAATACAACCTTAGGGTAAAGAATGGAAGTCATAAAATTTAAAAAATCGTTTTGCTCAGGGGATCTAACTATTTGAAAGTACAATCCCAAACTATGTTCACAGAAGAGTAAAAAGCAAATTCCTAAATTTTTAAAACCTTCATCCTTTTGTGGTAGTTAACAGATTTCGAATCAACATAGTTGTATCATTTTAGAAATGTTAAAAAAAGTGCACGATGAAGATACTTTTTTTTCTGCAGGGACGGGCACTGTGGAAGAAAGAATGGGAGGAGGGAAGGAGAAAGGAAGGAAGGGAAGGAAGATGAAAGGAAGCCGGGTTCAGCGGCTCAGCCTGTAATCCTGCACCTTGGGAGCCTGAGGTGAGTGGATTGCCTGAGCCCGTGGGTTTGAGACCCGCCTGGGCAACTTGGTGAGACCTCATCTCTACGATAAATCAAAAAAATTAGCCAGGCATGGTAGCGCGCGCCTGTGGTTCCAGCTACTTGGAAGGCTGAGGTGGAAGGATCTCCAGAGCCCAGCTGGGCGAGGCTTCAGTGGCCGGGAGTGGTCACTGCACTCCAGTCTGGGCAACAGAGTGAGACTCCAACTCAAAAAAAAAAAAAGGAAGATGAAAGGATAGAAGGAAGGAACCTAGAGCCAAGTATTACACAACCTGAACCACAATCACAAATGGCTCTTTGCATATCTGCCTGCAGATGTGGCCAGTGCAATGCTCTGTCTGTGCGGCCAAGCACCTGTGATGCAACGCCTAATCCTATTCCACAACCCAGTGTGCGTGCTACATAACCTGACATTTATAATTAGACAATCCTGTTAATTGTTATGAATTCTTATAATTTTTCAATTATATATCCTATGGTATTTTTCTGCCTATAGGACAAACCATAAACATTATTTTCAGGGTTCTAAGATTTTCTTTCAGTGAGATCACGGTAGGAAATTTGATGAAATCATATAAAGTATGCTACTAACAGTATATTTATGAAGGAATGCTATATACGCATAGAATTCTATGAGAAAAATAAGAGCTCATTATTCAGTTCTATAAAAATAAAGCTATTTCCATGCCCCAGGAACCAGCCCAGGATAATACTTTGCTGATGCAGAGTCTATGAATTCTAATAAAAATTGCATAGAAATAAAGATCACAAATCTCTATAATTATGACTCTATTAAATGCAGCTATTGTCCATTAGCTACAGTAGTTCTAGACAGTAGCTGGCATGGCATGAGAATGTATTATTGTTACATGTTCTTAATGAACACTTGCGTGCTGCTGCTTTTTTCTTTCTTTCTTTTTTTTTGGTCTGCTTCTTTAAAAGGCAGAGATTGGTGTGTGCTTATTTTCTGCTGAAGACTTTGCCTGTGGGAACGCATGTCTTTTGGTTACGATGGAATTCCAGTCTGTAGACTCAATACCAGTTTACGTTAGTAGAGGCTAGCAAGGCTTATGGGGGGTGCAGGGCTAAAGAAGGAGATAATGATGACACTGTCGGGACAACCAGGCCTGGCAGTCCCTTGGTGTGGCATTCCAGGAGACGAGAGGAGATCGAGAACAAGGACAGCTGGAGCCTGGGAGCAGAGCAGGCACACAACCTTGTTTGGTGCTGTTAATTGTTGTCAATGTATTTGCTGTTCTTCCAGAATCTAAAATTGTTCACTTTTGGGGGGTGGGTAGAATAAGCCAGTAATGTTCACAAACCCTCCTTTGGACAAGAAATCCTCTGGAAAATTTTCTCCATGATAATTTGAGTGAGAGAATAAAAGGGCTTAGGTGGGCCCACAAACACCATGTGCAGTCCTTAGAACAATGTCTTTCAAAGCGTGGTCCATGTCTGAACTGCACACAAGAACCACATGCCTAGTGCTGGATAAAAGCAGGTGCTGGGGCCCCATCCCAACGTACTGACTCAGAATCTCTGAAGGCAGACCCCAGGAGCCAGTGCCCTGGCCTCGACACCATTCCTGGCTCATCTCTTCAGCAGTTCTAAGGAGTTTCTAGGGTACTGAGCTTCAAACCTTCCTATGACTCAAGAATCACTTACAGAGACTGTTAAATGCACACTTCTGGGTTCTCTGTATTTTCAGGGCCAGCAGAGAGAAGGTGCTTAGTAAATATCTGTGAAGCAAGTAAGGGACTTGAATAGACGGGGGTGGGGCAAGGGGGGGTGAGGAAGACAGGTTTTGGTGGGGCAAAAGCATTCTTGGTAATTTTTTCATGCACATAATTCTTGTCTCTTCAAATGATCATGATTTCTTTGGAGGAATCACGTCTCATTCTTCAGTCAAGAACTGAACACTCGATACTTCCAAAGAAAACCTGTTTAGAGAAGGGAGTTGAGCACATAGTTGGTGACCTAAGTAGGTGGAAGAAAGCAGAAGGGGTGGAGGGACAGAAGGCAGCCTTTGCCACCACTGGCGTCAGCCGCAGCACGTCACACCGTGAGAACACCCTCAGCGTGAGAACGCTTTCTGACCTGACTCCTGAGCCTAGTCTGTAAGTGTGAGGTCATCAGTTTTCTACTTTTCACCCCTAACAGTGACAGTCTGACAGCCATATTACTCTTACCTGTATTCCAAGGTCTTTCATTCTTGCAAGTGCCAGTTCTCTCAGGTTACCGTGCTCTACTCCTGAGCTGACTAAGGGCATTGGAATATCTCTGCAGGAGAAAAATATCAGCTGTTGCAAAATATAAATCATTCCTGATAGCAGTAAGACAAGGATATTTTTTTAAAAAGAAAGAAAATGAACAAAAATGAAAAAGTCAACTTCTTACAAAGGTGACAAGCAGAGGCTGAATATCCTAACCAGGAAACAAGCTTCAGAGCTCTCTCTGCCTCAGCTTCCCAATTTACAAAATTATGATTTTCAATGACTCTCAGGGTTTCTGTGAGAGACACCGAGAAAGTCACTTCAGGTAAAATTACAAAGTGCAAAACAAATGCCAAATACCCAGTAACCATTAGAAAGAATTTTTGGCTGAAGAGACATTTGTACAAAATAAAACAAGAAATAAAATAGCTTTTTACAAAATGCCTTGAACAAGGTAGCTGACAAATACTCGCCCATACGGTTGCTGAATGACAAGTAACCAGGAAGCTGAAAAGCCTGGTCAACAATTTTCCCTCATTTCCCAAAAAGCTAAATTAAAAGAGACTCTGTGTTAGAAGAGTAAAAGCTTGCTTAAAGATAAAAGGAGATAAAATTCATTTTCTGGAATTAATATAGCATAAAGCGCTAGGCATCAAGAAGACTTCAATCAACAGTTGAAGTTATGAGTTCCATTTTAGGAGCCCCGACACTCTCCTCTAGAAAAAAATCAGTATCCAAAGATAAAACAGTTTAAAAAAACCTGAAGTAAGAATATGCTCAGCACATCTGCTTCCTACTCAAAGACAAGTCTCTAATTTGTTTTGTCTCATATGTGGTTGATCAGAGGAAAGATGTGAAGAATATGCCAATTATCTTTTCTTCTCATTTCGCTTTTGAATCAACTTGAGTCTTTTCACTTATCTTTTCAAATGTTAAATACAATTAGCTAATTCATCCATTTGATTCTAATAAGATATTACTCCTGCAAAAGTATCAAAAGCCAATCAATTAGCATTAAGAGCTATACACAATAAGTCTATTAGGTCCTGAAAGACAGACTGTCTCCATAAAAATACCATAAATCTAAGATAAGTCAAAATTCTTTAAAACAAAGACACAGGGGAGGGAGGAGGGGAGTGAAAACATGAGAGTGAGATCTCACACACACACACACACACACACACACACACACACACACATATATATTTTTAGTGGTCAGCATTAGTATGTATGATTTACTTGTAGTTTTTAGTAAAATCAATTTCTATCTTTGAAACTGTTATTTCTTAAAAACAAAAATATTTTAAAGTTGGTAATTAGACAAAACTGAATGAAGCCTACTAAGGTAAAAAACACAGTTGATGTTAGCAAGGAATACAGAACTATATTCTATATAAATATTAAATATTTTACTGTTTCAGAATATACAAGACAAAAATAAAGTCTTCTAAATGCCATTTTTGCCCTAATATAGTTTATACACAACTCACAAATATGTGAATATATAAAATATATGACTATATATCATAAATATGAACACAAAATAAATTTCACAGCTTAAAGTAAAATTTAAAACACTGTTATACATGGTATGAAATTAATCTAATAAAATCAATGGTAACCAATGTTAGTACCATTATATAACAAATATGGTCAAATCTTGTTATTCATGGTAGTTATATTGTATGAAGTAGCTGTGAATACTGAATTAATGAATACTAAAGCACTGCTCCTAGGGAATATCCAGGGTTGGGTTCCTGTGAGCCCCTAAAACATTTTCTTCAACCAAGTAATATATAACCTTGTTTTATCTGTGTTTCTGCTGAAAGATATCTTATTTAACATATAGTTGATTCATTAACATTGAATGCATGACCACAGCACTATGACTTACACCTCCCCTAGCCAGAATGACCAAGAAAAAGAGAGAAAAAGCCCAAATAAACACAAACAGAAATACAAAAGATCAAATCACATGGACCCCGAAGAAATACAAAAGATTATCAGAGATTACTATGTATACCTATATGGAAACAAACTTGATAACCTAAATGAAATGGAGGACTTTCTGACATCACACATCCTCCCCAGATTGAAGCAAGACATTGAGACACTAAATAGACCAGTAACAACCGGAAATTGACTCTGCATACAAAAACTATCTACAAAAAAAAAGCTCTGGACCAGATGGCTTTCCAGTAGAATTCTACAAAATGTACAAAGAGGAATTCATACCAATCCTACTGAAAGTATTCTAGGCAATTGAGAAATATGGAATTCTCCTCAAATCATTTTACGAAGATAATATCACACTGATACCTAAACCAGGTAAAGATCCAACAAAAAAAAGGGAACTAGCCGGGCTCGGTGGCTCAGACTGTAATCCCACGCCTTTGGGAGGCTGAGGTGAGTGGATTGCCTGAGCCTGAGGGTTCAAGACCCGCCTGGGCAACTTGGCGAGACCTCATCTCTACAATAAATCAAAAATCAGCCGGGCGTGGTAGCACGCGCCTGTAGTTCCAGCAACTCGGAAGGCTGAGGCGGAAGGATCGCCGGAGCCCAGCAGATTGAGGCTGTGGTGGCCGGGAGCGGCCACTGCACTCCAGTCTGGGCAAGTGAGACTCCAATTCAAAAAAAAAAAGTAACTACAAGCCAATATCCCTTATGAACATAGATGCAAAAATCTCCAACAAGATTCTAGCAAATTGGATCCAAAAACACATCTCGAAAATCATCCACCATGACCAAGTAGGCTTCATCCCCAGGATGAGGGGCTGGTTCAACATTCGCAAGACAATAAGTGTCATTAAAGACAACAACAGATGTAAAAACAAGAATCACATGATTATCTCATTAGATGCAGAAAAAGCTTTTGATAAAATCCAGCATTGCTTCTTGATAAAAACCCTCAAATACCTAGGTACAGAAGGAACATACCTCAAAATAGTAAACGCCATCTATGATAAACCCACAGCTAACATACTGCTAAATGACAGAAACTGTAAACATTTCCCCTGAAAACTGGAACAAGACAAGACTGCCCATTCTCACCTCTCTTGTTCAACATTGTGTTGGAAGTCCTAGCTAGGGCAATTAGACAAGAGAAGGAAATCATGGGTAACCAAATAGGAAAAGAGGAAGTCAAGTTATCCCTCTTTGCTAATGATATGGTCCAACATCTTGAAAATCCAAGAGAATCTGTCAAAAACCTGCTTGCACTGATAAAGGACTCTGGCAAAAATCTCATGGTACAAAATAAATGCGCAGAAGACAGTTGTATTCCTATACACCAACAACAAGCAGGTAGAGACCCAAATTAAAAGCACAATCCATTCACAATAGCCACAAAACAAAAACAAAAACAAAAACGAAATACCTCGGAATCTTCCTAACCAGAGAAGAGAAGTGAAAGACCTTTACAATGAGAACTACAAAACACTGCTCAAAGAAATCCAAGAAGACACAAACAAATGGAAAAATATTCCATGCACATGGACAGGGAACATTCAACATTGGTAAAATGTCCATCCTACCAAAGGGAATCTACAGATTCTACACAATACCCATTAAGCTACCAACATCATTCTTCTCAGACCTGGAAATGACAATACAGAAATTCACTTGGAAACATAAACGACCATGAATAGCCAAAACAATCCTTAGCAAAAGAAACAAAGGAGGAGGTATCATACTTCCAGACTTCAAACTTTACTATAAGCCTACAGTAATCAAAACAGCCTGGTATTGGTGCAAGTATGGGCATGTAGACCAACGGAATAGGATAGAGATTCTGGAAGCAAAGCGTCAATTTCTCAACCAACTCATCTTTGACAAAGCCTCCAACAACAACCACTGGGGAAAGGAGAACCTATTCAGTAAATGGTGCTGGGAAAACTGGCTGAAC